AAAGGCACATGAGAATTCTAATGTTTTTATGCACTAATCATTGCTTTCATTAGATACTTCGATAAAAGGTCTTTGAGGCTAATAATGATGTTGATGAAGATAGTGGTACTCTTAATAATTTCTCTGGCCCTTTATAATTTATAGAGTTCACATGTATTATCTCAGATTTAATAGTTCATTAAGGGGAGACTATTTCTTTATAACACAAAGTTACTGCTAAAACAACACAAACAAGCTTGTGGGTTTGATCCCGGTCAGGGTACATGCAAGAATCAACCTAGGAATACATAAATAAGTGGAACAACAAATCAATGTCTCTCTCTCTCTCTCAAATCAATAAAAAACAAACCAAAAAATATGAACAAACTGTTAAGTCATTGTAATGTAATATATTTAGTTAACATGACACCCAATGTTCTGAAATGAATTTACTGATCTTCAAAAGACATCTCAAAATTTAAAAAATACATTCTAAACTAATATAATACTATCTGTCAACTGTAATTGAAATTAAAAATTTAAAACTATAAGGGAAGTAGTTGAGGAAAGTAAGCCTTACATACATTCCCTTCAGAGACGGTGCTGTGAAGTCTGTACTGTTGTCCATTTCTTGGCCACGTTTATGGTCATGGAACGGCAGCTGGGCAGAGAGCCATCCTGACTGCCCCTTTCCCTTTGCTTTTCACCTGCTTCCTGCACAGGTGTGGCTGTTGGGTGTTGGAGTCCATGGTCCCATGAGGACCCTCAGAGCTTCTGCAGGAGTTAGCACTAAATAATAGAGCACAAAATAATAACTCACAAGCATTTGTGGGGAAATGTACAATAACCATAAAATCAACAGAACTATCTCCCTTTGGTTGACCTTTTTAGGAATACAATAATCAATATTTGCAAACACTTTTCTGTGGGGAGGGCCACCCCTCATCTGTCAGCTGAGCAAAAGAGCTGAAAACCCTGAGGAGAAAAACAACTCAGACAAAACGGTGATTTCAGTGGTTTATAAAAAAATAAAATAAAATAAGACCCAAACAGTATTTACTGAATGAATGACAGTATCTCCAAGAAGATAATATTTGCATGCATGAAATGTGAAATAATAAAACAATGAAATTAGATGCCCAAAGCATGCCATCATGTGGGTTTCAGAGGCGAGAGAGAGCGCTGTAAGGAAAAGCTTGCTGAGGGCAGGGAACGCTAGGCTGGTCACAAGCAACTGAGCCAGTGCGCGAGGGAGCTTCCTGCCTGTGTTGGTTTCCGACTGCTGTGTAACAAATGACCACAGACGCAATGGCCCAGAACAGCGGACGTTTTCCATCTTGCCTTTCCACGGGGCGGGAGCCTGAGCACGGCTTGTCTGAATCCTCTGCTCGGGATCTCAAAGAACATAATTAAGGTGGTGATGTGGCTGTGCTCCTTTTTGGAGCTCAGGGACCCCTCCGAAGCTCACACGACTTCTGGTAGACATCAGTTCCTTGAAGGTGTGGGTCTGAGGTCCTGATTTCTTGCTGGCTGCCAGCCAGGAACCTCACACATTCCTTGCTACGTGGCAGCTCCCTTCTTCAAGGCCAGCAAAAGAGTCTCCTACCTCTTCTGTCCTCTTCGAAAGGACTCACTTCATTAGATCAGGTCCATCTGGGGAAAAAAATCTCCCTTGGATTCACTAAAGTCAATGGACTAGGGATCATAAACAAATTAAAAAAAATTTAAATATATTTTTCAATTACAGTTTACATTCAGTATTATTTTATGTTAGTTTCAGGTGTACAGCATAGAGGTTAGCCAGTCATATACTTTACAAAGTGTTCCCCTGATATTCTAGCATCCACCTGATAGCAGACTTAGTTAGTACAATATTATGGACTGTATGGGATCTTAATTACACCTGCAAAGTCTCTTCACCTTTGTCACATACCTAACATAATCATGGGAGTGATATCATTCCACTTTTTCCATGTTCTGCTGACTAAAAGCAAATTACAGCCCCTGCCCACACTCAAGGGGATTATACAAGGGTGTGGGTCACCCCCGAATCCTGCCTACCAGGGTCTTATTTTGCAAATGATTCTTTCAGTTGTTGTCTGAACATGTTTTAAAAGTGAAGTTTTTAAAAAAGTGATTTAAAAAGCGGGCTCTGGGTGTTAGATGCCAGGCTAAGGAAAATAACTCGTCTGAAGTTGGAGCTTTTACTTAGGAGAGCAGCCGTGGAGAGAGCGTGGGAAGGGAAGAGTTATGAGTAGAGAACCCACCTCCTCACTCGGCCGCACTGCCGAGCTCCCTGACTGGCCTCTTGGCGCCTGGCCTTCACTCTCCCACCTGCCTCTGCTTGTAGTCAAGGTGCTCTTTCCAAAATGAGCATCTAATCCTGTCACTCCCCTGCTAAAAATACTTCTGCTGAATGGTAGGTGGAACCGTGCGCTCTAGCCTCCTGGGAGAGGGCTCCATGCCGGTCAGCGTCCTGTCCCAGCACAGGCTTCATGTGCCCTTGGCTCACACTCGCCCAGGCAGCATCAGCAGCGGTTAAGAGGAGACGGATTTGAGACCCTGAGGGGGGACAGTTACTGGATGTGATGAGGGAGGACAAGCCCGCTTCATGCGTGGACGTGAGGAATGCAGGTGCACGAGCAGGTGTGGGAGAGGAGATGAGTTCAGTTTGAGGTCACGGCAGAAAATCACACCCAAGGGCATGCTGGCCCTCAGCCGGGTATTGTAGGATCTGTAGAAGTGCCAGGCATAACCGCTACAGGGATGAGAATCTGTGTGGCATTCAGAAATCAGGATTCACAGAGAAGGGCAACAGAAGGGTCAGCGCCAGTGGTAGACTGCAGAGATGAGATAACTAAGATATGAATAGCCGAGGGGAATTTTCCCCACTCCCTCAAGTACCCAGTACAAGCAATGACAGATAACATTGCCTTTCATTGTTTCAGCGGCTTAAAGGTATAGACAATGGGAAAGATCGTTAGGACCTAATTTGGGGTGCCCAAAGAAAATATCAGGAAGAGAGGTTTCGCATTTTTCCTGGTCATCTCAACTTAACTCTGTTGTTCCAAGTGTCTTTTGTCACCTGGCCTCACATGTCCGGTTATGAATACTGAAATTCTTTTGTGGAATTCGTATGTGGAAGTACATCGTTTTTCTTCTGCTTTCTGTTTTTTTTCCTGGAGTCCAGCTTCTTCTGGAGAGTGTTGGGCCAAAAAGGGTTTTAAGCCGCCTGGTCCACCTTCCTAATATGGGATGCGCTCTAAGGAGAATAGACACAGCAGGATGCTGCTTTCCTCCTGATGGGCGATGGATTCTAATCCCCATTTCTCTCTTCCTGCGGGACTAAGTGCCCATCATACCGATGTGCAGTCAGCTTCCAGCTCATGCGGCTCGTGGGATCCCTCCTGAGGTTGTCAGTGCTGCCATTGCTTGGGGCCTGCAGTGGGCCACGGTGCTATGGCAGCGACCCCTGGAGTTCACGGGCTGCTGTGGCGGCTGGTGTGACTGCGGTGCGACGCGGCTTTCCATGCAGTGTGCCCTGCAGACAGGCCCGTCTCTGTCTCTGCTCGATCCCCACCATTCTCTACAGTGTTGCCAACACCGAGGCTGAGGATCAATTCTCATTTGTCTTTGGGCTTTCATCATTGTTTTTCTATAGCAGAGATTTTTTCCCTCATATTTGGATCTTCTTATATATTTTATCTGATTGGCCTCTGCAGGCATTTTTGTGTGTGACCTCAATTTTAGGTAAAATCAGCATTTTCTTGTATCTTATCATACTCTGGTGCTTTTAAGGGGTTAAACACTACCCCGGAACGTTACCTGAACTCGTGACTCTGAGGTTGATTCCTGCTAGAGCATCTGTGAAGGAAAACTCACTGCTGCGTCTCCTTGGTTCTCACACTACTGCCCCCACTCCCGAGTTTCTCACACCAGACCAGCACTTCTGAGCCACCAGCTGTGACCAATTGTTTAACTCAATTCCGTCGTGACTCTGTCTCCCTGAAGATAGTCTAACATCCACAGGTTAAGGGCTCAGTCCCAAAGAGGACCGCGCCCTAGCCCCACACTTGAGATGCCAGTCACAAGTCCAGGCTGTCACCTGTGCTTCGACCAACGGGCTATGAGTCCCAGAGGGTCCACCTCTTCCTCCCCAGGTTTGATTAACTTGCCAGAGTCGCTCACAGAGTTCAGGAAAACAGTTTACTTGGCTTTTTTATTTAAAAAAAAATACCCCGTTAGCAGTATTTTATAGAAGGATGTAATTCAGGAACAGCCAGACGGAGGAGGTGCAGAGGGCAAGCCGTGGGAAAGGGGGCGGGGCTCCGCTCTCCTCCGGCCTCCACGCATTCCCCAAGCTCAGGCTCCCCAAACCCAGCGTCCCAGGGTTTATGTGGGCTTTATTATGAAGCGCGGTTGATTAAATCATTGGCCTTTGGTGACTGAACTCAATCTTCAGCCTCCTCCCACTCCCCAGGAGGTTGGGGAGAGGGGCTGAAAGTTCCAACCCTCTAATCACTTGGTGGTTCCCCTGGCAACCAGCTACAATCCTGAGGTTACTTGGGGGCTTTCCCAAAGTCACCTCACTAACATAAACTCAGTTGTAGTTGAAAGGCGCTGGTTATGAATAACTAGGCATCTGTTTTACCTCCTTGGCTCCGAAGCATTTCAGGAACTGAGGACAAAAGACCACATATTACAACAAAGGATGCCCCTATGGCTCTTATATAGGAAATTACAAGTTTTAGGAGCTATGTACCAAACACAGTGGACAGAGACCAAATATATATTCCTTACTATAAATTGCAATACCACACCGTCTGCAGTAAGAATGATTTAAAATGAACAGTTGACAAAAACTTGGAAGTACTTGTTATGGAGATAGGTAGATCAACCTTTGCAGTAACAAACTTGTAAGTGGGATAGTAGCACAAACTTGCTTGTGACTAAAATAATGCATATTGATGCAAGTAAGCCCTCACTAATACAGCCTTTTGTGCCTGGTCTCCCCTTCCTAGACCGTTGGAACGATCCAGTGAAGATGTGGATATAATCTTCACACGGCTGAAAGAAGTTAAAGCTTTTGAGAAATTTCACCCAAATCTCCTTCATCAGATTTGTTTATGTGGTTATTATGAGAATCTGGAAAAAGGAATAACATGTAAGAAACCTCTAATCGTTTACTTTTATGTATGGTTTGTGCTTATTTGTGGTTATCCTGTGGGGATAGATAGCACATGGGGTATTTATGGGCCGGATATTGGAGCTTCAGCCAAAGGCACTAGATTGCAATTTCCCTCTCCTTTGCTCGTTCAGTCTCACTGTAGGCATTTCCTGAACTCCTCTGTTCCCAGCGTGTAGATGGTTCTTCCCGGGCAGCCTACTTTCCAGATGGAGCTGGAAGGATATACTGATTCATATCATTCGGCTGTATCCCTAGAAATTCAAATAATTATTTTCTCTAACCCCCAAAGTATGTTAGCCAGTAGTATATTAAATAAAGAGAACAGGCCACTTAACTAACACTAATAGTGACGTTTAGAATGAACTTCAGTGATACCATCTGTTCCAGATGTGAATAAGGGGCAGGGAGAATAACACAATAGCTGCATTTTACAAAAGATATTTTCTCCTTAAAGAAATAATGCTTTACTGTCTGTTGGGATGCTTTATGCTGCAGTAACAGAACACTCCCACCCAACTGGCTTGGATATCCATTACTCATGTAGGAGGAAAATCAGTTACTCATGTGCCAGAAGTCTTGAGGTAGGATGGCTTCAGGGTTGGTTAATTAGGTGGCTCAGTGACATTCTTAAGGTCCCAGGTACCTCTTATCTTTTTGTTTGCTGGTGTTTGCTATGTATCTTAGATTTGTCCCAAATGGATCTAAGACATCTGCAGCAGTCAGAAGCATTACATGCTGACACAAAACGTCCTGCTGAAAGACTATTTCTTGTTGTGTCTCTTTTTCAGAAGTCTCCCAGCAGACTTCCTTTTTTTTTTTTATCCTTACCCGAGGACATTTTTCCATTTTTTGTTCAGGTAGAGTGGGAGGGAGAGAGAGGAACAGAGAGAGAGAGAGAAACATCGACGTGAACGGAACACATCGAGTGGCTGCCACCCACACAACCGATCAGGGCCGGGGACAAACTGCAACCGAGGTACGCACCCTTAGCGGGAACCGAACCCGGGTCTCTCAGGACCGCAGGCCGATGCTCTAACTGCTGAACCAAACGGCCAGGGCCCTGTTTTGTTTTATTGGCTAGAATTATAGCACACGCCCATGCCTAAACCAATCGCTGCAAAGATAATCGGACCATCATAATTGAATTAGACCAAGTGTTGTTACCCCACTGGAGTTAGGAAAGAAATTCTTGCTCTGAGCACTTGGCCCTTGAAGGAGGGTGGAATATATAATGTTCAGTTAGATAAGAGGGCATGATTCTGGATGGGAAACCAACAGGGTCAGTCACAACATCATTGTAGAAAATTTAGAAGACAAACAAAATAAAAATCACCTGCAATTCCCAAACCCAGAGATTTCCACACACATACACACACACACACACACACACACACACACACTCACACGCACACACACTCACACTTGTATTAAAACAACCATTCAAACATACTGTTTTCAAACATATATTATTAGTATTATTATTATTGATATTAGAAACTTCATTCTCTTGGAGATGAGCCTCTATTTTCTATTTCTTAAAGCCATTTTCAAAATGAATCTTGTATGATATATAATGTGAATTTGATTGATAAATGATCATGTCTTGGGGGGCCAGAAAGTTCATGAAAGGCAAAGCACTAACTCTAAAATAAGTCACTTCCAAAGACCAGGAAGAGCAGTGACTGGAGAGGCAGGCTACAGACTCATCAATTCCCCATCTTAAGCCTATCATTGCACTTGGTGGGATGCCATTGTCATTCTCCTTCCCACAGCACGTCTTAGTCGGAGTTTAGAGCAGCTTGTCACATTAATTATGCCTCCCAGGGGCTTGCTCTTATGCCGGGAGCTCAGGCCTTGCCAGGATTCAGCTGTCCCACTGAGCTGCCATGTGACTTCTCATTGAGTCACTAGACCTCCAACTTGAATCGTGAAAAGAATTTAAAAATATCAGATCATTCCATCTGGTTATTCAGCTAGGATATTTGCAAGGATTGTTGGGTTTGTTTGAGATGTTTGACCCAGTGTTTCAGAATGACTTTCCAAGTACTGGTCTTAACATAATATGGGGACTAAGGTTCTGTCCAAATATCTAAATGTTTCTTTTCTGAAAGTACAAAAGTAAAGCAAAATCAGGTTCAGAAATCCCTGAGAATCATTTCCAAAGAGCAGTTAACACCTAATGCCTAAAGCAGTGCATTTATTTCTTTTTTTTTTTAAAAAAGGACAAACAAGAAAATAGACAATGATAATACAGTCATTAAAACTCTTAAAGCAGATTTTTGTTTTTTAATCATTCATTGTTTAACTTAAAAGGAGACATTCTATCCTAGAAAACACATTGATTTGAGTATAAATAGACTTAAGAAATTGGGGTAGTGGTCTGGTTTCATTGAGTCAAATAATCTTGTTAATATGTACCCTGTCTAGAATAATAATTTTTCAAGAATTATAGTACAATGAAGTGTATTTAAGATAAATTGCACAGAACATCACTCAGTTCTTCTTAAATTCAAAGGACCATGTAGGGTTCAGGGTTATCGGTCCTTATTACTGCTCTGTAAATATAAAAGAGTTATGTTTAAACAGAATTCCACTTCCTAGAATATTGAATAAATAAGATATAGCTTTGTTGATAGATGGGAAAAAGAAAAATATGTTCTTGTGGGAACAAGTAGAAGAAGAGTCACAGCTCAGCTAGGTCCAAGTCACAGCTGTAACACCGGGGAGAAACTGTCAGGTCTACGGTAGAACCAGCATGGTTACATTACTGTTTCTCTTTCAGTATTTCGTCAAGGTGATATTGGAACAAACTGGTATGCTGTCCTGGCAGGGTCTTTGGATGTTAAAGTATCTGAGACCAGCAGTCACCAGGTAAGATACCTTGTTCTTTTTTGTTGTTGTTAATCCTCACCCAGGGATATTTTCCCACTGATTTTTAGATAGAGTGGAAGGGAGGGAGGGAACAAGAGAAAGAGAAACGTCATTGGGAGAGAGACACATCGACTAGTTGCCTCCTACATGGCCCTGACCAGGGCCAGGGGATCCAACCTGCAACCCAGGTAAGTGCCCTTGACCGGAAATTGAATCCGCAACCCTTCAGTCCGAGGGCTGACGCTCTAACCATTGAGGCAAGTCCGCCCCGGCCTTTTTTTAACAGTAGGATTTATTATTCTTTTTAAAAGATACATTGTTCCTGTGTCTTCTATGCCATCAACATTACATTTGAAACCCATTCCCTCTTTCCCATGGTAAGGAGTTTACATGTTTGATGAATTCCTCTACTAAGTTAGTCAAGAAACATAGACATTGAGTGTCTTCTCCGATTCGAGTATGGTGCCAGGTGCTGGGACATGGAATCCAGGGACCCACTGCTGCCTTTGTCTGCTGGGAAGTGCGAACCATTCATTGCAATGTGATACCTTGCTGTTGTGTAAGCTGAATTGTGAGCAAAGTGTGAGGAGAAGCAAGTCTTCCTCGGTTTCTCCTTAGAGCCTTCCTCCATCTGGTGTCCTGGCTTTTCGGTGTCCTAGAAGTGATCCCCTGTGGCCTGTGAGGTGCTCCAGTGATGCAGGGGAATGTGGTCGATGCAGCCCCCTCAACATCTCCTCTATTTCCCTACCACATCTTTTCAAATGTGGGAGGGTCAATACTGACATTCCCCCCCCTAAAGTGCAGCACGGGGTTCCTTTATGTTCATTAATCACCTCTGGGAGCATGGCACCCTAAAAGATAAAGCTCGTATTCTTCCCATCCCCCCACTCCTGAACCACGTTTGTTAATATTTAAAACTGGACCCAGAGTCTCTTTCACATCTGCAGTGACCCTTACTCCAGCACTACCCCGTGGCTGACCTGTACAAAACCTTCCCACTTGGAGCCAAGAACCTCAACTCTCAAAAGGATGGCCACTAGCGACCACCGCCAAGCTCCAGTATGAAAACAGCCCGAGTTTTCTGTCCATATATTCAGGATTCGAGTTAAAAATGGAGGAAGAGAATTGGCTGATTGTAAAATTGGAAAGAATTCTCAAGAAACATCAAAGAAACAGTTGAAGGGATAAATAGCCCATAGCTAAGGAGCGTGTTAAAAACAGTGCTTCTGAGCCGTTTTCATTCGTAGCACACTTCAAATGTGAGAAATGTTCATGACGTGCTAAATTTGAGATTTAAATTGTGTAGGAACTTATATGAATATTTGGAGTTGTAGGCAATGATTACATAAAAATGGAGAAGTATCCCAAAGACTGTTGGTAAGGTGGACATTTGGAGTTTGGAGTATAGTTGCCTGTGTTATACTTATTGTTATAGATGGTTAGAGTCTCAGGCGAATGCCAAAGTCCTATTTAACCCATGGTATACTTTTCCTCTGCGTCAGTGCATTGAAAGTTCCAGTAGAAGCTGCCTGGTACCGGTGCCCCGGCCTCGAGGGTACTGTCCCTCTTCCCCTCACTCACAGGCCAGGTTTCTCTTGGATGTCAAAGAGGGCCAAGGTGAAAGGTAGATTTTGATTCTTATAAGCTGCCTCGGTTCCCAGCGGCACTGAGGAGAGCTAGCACTTCTTGGATATCTGACATGCGCTAGGCAGTGTTCTAAGCACAATAACTCTGTGAGGTCGGTCATATTACTATTCTCATGTTATAGATGAGAGATGAAGACACGAGGGCCCTGAGTAGTTCAATAACCTGCCCCAAGTAATGTATCTAGAAATTAGGGGAACTAATATTAAAACCCAAGCTGTCTGGCATCAGAACATATACTGGTAGCCACTGCTCTGCACTGACTCAGGAGGAGCATGGTGCAGCGTGCAGTGTCCCCCTCTCTCCGCCATCTGTCATCCTGTCACACTACCCCGCCCCTTACCTCTGCACACCTTCCACCTGCAGGCTGCTGCCTGGTGGCGCCCGCTGGGCCCCTTGCCCAGAGCTTCCCCGAGGCTTGCTTTAACCCAGCCCCACCTGTGTGCTTGCGAGCAGGGGACAGAGCCTGGAAGAGGCTGGTTCCCTTCTGCTTCTCCAGGTGGTCCTGAATGAATAATGGAAAGAGGGGAGAAGCTGGAAAGAGAAAGGCGAGGAAAGAGAGAAAAGGGGAAGAAGATGAGAGGTAAAGAGGAGGAAGAAGAGAAGGGAAGGAAAACAGGGAGGAGCAATGAAGAAGGAATAATGATCTTTTAAAAAAGGCAAAGCAGATGTACCTAAGGGATGATTAATCACATCAGCAGTGATGTGCTGACACCTCAGATGTTAAAAGCTAGTGTGAGCTTTTGATGGTATTAAAATAGTACTTGACCAGGGGCTCTTGGAATACTGCCCTGCACCAATTATCTCTCACCATGCAGTCCCAGCAAAGAATAGCTGAGAAACACTTTGTTATTAGCTGTGGGTTGTTTTTGTTTTTTTAATTTTAACAAACTTTTAATTCTAGAGTTTAGCTGTGGTTTTGACCTCAAACCCAATACAGAGAACTTTCCTAAGCTGAGCTTGGCCATCTCTTAAGTTGTTAGGAATTATTAGCTTTGTATCAAAGCTGGCTTCCTGCCTCCTCTGTGTACTTCACCCCACAATGTCTAGTAAGGGTTTTCTGGATTTATTTGTATTTTCACTAAGATATAAGGATGATAACGTACATTGCCCTCCACATTCTCCAGCCCTCCAGAGAGTGGCCTGAGGTGGACAGAGGGCCCAGCCTTGTAGTCAGCTCTGATGGGCAGGGCATGGTTTCAGACACATGGGAACAAGAAGCTAAGGAGAATGAGCAAGGTGGCTGTACCTCCTTCCATGGAAAATTACTTGAACAGGAGAAACAAAAATGTAATTCCTGTCTGAGCTGGCCTTGTAATGAGCTCTGGGTCTCTGCCCACTAGCTACCAACCAGATCAGGGTGATAGGTTAGCCAATCAAAGTAGTACGTTATGTTAGGATTCTCCAGAGAAATAAAACCAATAGGAGATAGATAAAGATTTATTTTAAGGAATTGGCTTATGTGATTGTAAGGGCTGGGAAATCAGAATTTGTAGAATAAACTGACAGGCTGGAGATTCATGTAAAAGTTGATTCTGCAGTCTTGAGTCTAAAAGCTGGAAGTTCAGGTAGAGTTTCTATCTTGCAGTCTGGAAGCAGAATTGCTCCTTTTTGGGAAACCTCATGGGAAATCTTTTGCTCTCAGGCCTTCGACTGATTGGATGAGGCCCACCCACATTATGGAGGGCAATCTGCTTTACTTAAAGTTCACTGATTATAAATGTTAATCACATCTAAAAATATTTTTATGGCAAAATTAGACTAAGGAACTGGTTACCATAGTTGACATATAAAATTAACCATCATATACCCCAGTGAGAGAAAAATGTGGTTGAGTGATGGACCATGGGAGGAGGAGCAAAAAAAGCCCTGGAGTTTCTGTCCTTAGAGACTAGTAACAATATCGCTAAGTGCATTCATTGTGTCGCACTGTGCTAGGGGTTCTGGGAACATTAACTGACTTCATCTTTGGGCTTTCAGGTCCTATTTTAAAATTGAACTTGAAAATAGGCCCAGCAACATAAGGTATAACTTGCCCCAGGCCACACAAATGTATGTGACCAACTTAAGATTTGAATCCAGGCCTGATATACCCCAAATTTTATGTTCTTCCTACTGCTCACATAGGAAAAATAGTGGGCAAGGGGCAGTAAAAAGAAGAAGGAGGAAGAGGAGGAGGAGAAGGAAAGTTTAAAGAGACTGAGAATTAAGGAAAGAGAAAAGAGATAGCCTTCCTAGCCTTGCTAGCCTTCCCCTTTATTTTCGTTCCTCAAGTCTCTACCTGCCCTGCATGCCTGACTGCGCAGCTGAGAGTCGGAACTCAGAGACGGAGGTGATAAATTCTGAACCTTATCTCTAAGTTTCAGCCCCTTATTGGGGTGTTAGCGGAGCCAGAGTGATGAGATAAGAGCAGGAAGAGCTTCTTTATTCATTTGTCTACTGATGGACACTTGGGCTGTTTCCAGATCTTAGCTATTGTAAATAGTGCTGCTATGAACATGAGGGTGGTACATATACACAATGGAGTACTATGCAGCTGTAAGAAAGAAAGATCTCTTATCTTTTTTTTAAATCCTCACCTGAGGACGTTTTTTGATATTTTGTTCAGATAGAGTGGGAGGGAGAGAGAGAGAGAGAAACATCGAAATGAAAGGGACACATCGAGTGGTCGCCACCCACACAATCCAATCAGGGCCGGGGACAAACTGCAACCAAGGTACATGCCTTTAGCAGGAACCGAACCCGGGTCTCTCCAGACCACAGGCCAACTCTCTAACCGCTGAGCCAAACCGGCCAGGGCTCTCTTATCCTTTGAGACGACATGGAGGGACCTGGAAAGTATTATCCTAAGTGAAATAAGCCAAGCAGAAAAAGACACATACCACATGATCTCACTTATATATGGAATATAATGAATATAACAGTCTGAGGAATAGGGTAGACCCAGAAACACGGAAGTAGGGTACAGACTGACAACCCTCAGGGGGTGGTGGGGGTGGGAAGAGATAAACCACAGAACTTATGTGCATGTATGCATAACCAGTGGACATGGACAACAAAGCCGGGGACGGGGCGGGGGAGATGGGGAGGAGGGTGTCAATGGGGTAAAAAAGGAGAAACATCTGTAACAAAAATAAAATTAAAAAAATTAAGAAAATAAAAATAATAAATTTTAAAAAATAATAAAATGAAATGTGCCCCATAGGTTAAAAAAAAAAAAGAGCAGGAAGAGCTCATGGGAATGGAGCGCCCACTACGGGCTGCTAAGTGAAAAGCACTTTACAAGCATTATTTCACTACACTGCCCTCCCCCATTTAGTGCTATGATTAGTTTCATTTTACAAGTAAGATGCTCA